GTGCCACGGCCACAGCACTAGTTTCCCTCAAAATCGCCTGGAAAGACCCCGTGTGGTATCCACTGGGTGAGTGTTTGTGAGAGCAGTAACAGCCCAGGACGGACACCAGTACCACGAACGAACAGGCGACTAATATGACCACAGTGGCAGTGGAAAAGGGGAGGCAAAGCCCTGCGGGGAGGAGAAGATGGGACAAAGACAGGATGGAAAGTCAGACTGGCAATTCACGGAGATGATGGCAAACTGAGTCAGTGGGCAGCTAGAACCCTGAGTGCCTCCTAGACCTGTTCATTCTCCCAAGCATTTTAGAAGGCTGTCTGGAAATCATCTCAGAGCCGGAGCGCTCTTCATTTCAACCCCAAATTGTAGTGCCTCCTGCTACTCGCTGTATGCTGCAAAGGTGCCAGTGCATGCTTATTTTTTGCACCGCTTTCGATCTTTGGGTTCACATACAGGTTCTGGGAATAAACGAGGGCTCCAAAGAAAGTCTTGGTGGTTTTACACGGAGGGAATGTTTCTCTTGGCTTAGACCTGGGTTGAGCATGCATGTTACAATGATGCTGGTCTATGACCGTCAAAAAGATTTGATTTGATACAAATCAGGTAGGTAACATCTGATCTAATGCAGATGCCACGAGGCACCTGCTAACTGTACGTTATGAACACAGCTCTGGCTTTCTCTCTGAATATCTCCTATATCTTTAGATTTTAAAGGCCATTGAAAAAAATACTCCCCTGGGACAGCCTTTCCTACCCTGGTGCTGGGTGCTTTTCCCCACGTGCACCTAGCTATAGTACAAACATGCCCTGGCAATCGTTCTTTTTGGCTGCGTCCCCATGGCTTTGCCTTCATTCATCAGCGAGGCAGGCTGATGTGGCCCTTGGCTGTATCAGAGTTTAAATACTGCTTGCTTCTTATTTTGACACAGCCCAAGGCAGCCTTCAGGTGAAGGAACCATGAGAGAGAAGTCAGCTGATGGACACGGGCTGGGAACAGAGGCGAGAGGGGCAGGAAAAGGATTGGCAGCAGGGACAACACATTTCTCTCTGGTAGTTTTCTGCTGACTCAAGGATGATTCAAGAGTACTTTAATTTGGCAGTGGGGAAAAGCCCTGAGAGCTGAAATGTATCACATTTGGTGAACGCCAAGCTGGGATCGTATAAAGGACCTGCTCTTCATGCACTGGAAATACATGATTAGTGCAGAAAGCATCAGAATCTGTATTTTGACCCACCAGTCCTTCATAGTTGAGCCATTTGCTGATTATCAAGGTTTTATAGCAAAGGCCTGCTTCAAATATTTAGCATAATGACAGTTACGAAGAGAAGAGAATATACGTAGCTCAGAATTGAACTGTGGAGTCCTTGGTGTTCTCTGAGCTTGATTGTTTCATTGCAGACAGTACCAGGCAGGTAACGAAACGTCTGCAAGAAAACAACCAAGGTCTGTTGGACGCAGCGGGGGCAGGGATGGCCACAGTGGAGCCATTCAGCAAGGAGGAGTGCGTCTGCTCACTTTCAGTTCAATGGGACCAAGCTTAAGATCTACTTCTCCAAGGGTTCCTGGAAAAAGGCAGATAAAGGCTCGGACTTCAGCCCTGCTTGCCCTGCAGTTCCACACATTATTGTCCCACTGTCTTCCACAATATGGTTCAGGTTCTCCACATTGTTCTTTTGATTCTGCTTGGGATACATGATTTTATGGACATTAGAAATCCAAAATTACCCCAAAATCTGCTAATATGGAGAAACAAACTGGCTTCCTCTATTTGGGTAGGTGCTAAACAAAGCCAGTGAATAAAGCATCACTTTGCTGAACAAATACGAAGTTCAAGCATTATCCTGCAAAACGGATATTATTTATAAAACTTATATACTGGACTCTTGGAGATCTTGGAGTCTCCAGTAATGATTAAAGTGTCCATGGTTAAAAAAAAACTTGACCCAAAATAAAGAAGAAGAAAAGCAGCAACCAATGAACTCAGATGGCGTTAATCCCCAAATGTCCTCTGAAAGAGCTCTGTTTTCACTAATCTCTGGAAAGCTACCACAGAGGGGGCTAATCTTGCTTCCAGTGGCTGTTTTAGAACACGGGTACCATTACCCAGAAATAATGTCTTATAGCTTCAGCCCCTCTCATCTCATGAAAATGGGACACCACCAGCATTTCACCTCAGGACAGATATATCGTGCGGGTACCTAGGACTATAGGTAATCCCCTATACTGAAGCATCTGCTATTATTGGCATATCATCAAGCTTCTGTTGAGATGGATAAGGAGGATTCACCCCAGTTCAATACCTCCCCTCAATACAGGCAGCTCCAAAAGTAAATTAGGAGGATGGCTTTCTTACCCACCTTTTGAAGGTGATGAGACATCACATCTACGTATATGCTCTTAGATTTTCCACCCCAACTCTTACCCAGCCACAAATCAAGTATAATATTAACTCTACATTTAGAAATTCAACTTCCATTTCTTCCCATCCTCTCTCTTAACCTGATTGTTGGAGGCTCCAGTGAAGGTAAATGTATCCAGCTGGAAACGGAGAAACCCATCTTCTCGCATGGCAAGAAAATGGGAGCCGCTGTGCTGCCCATCTACAAAGCACCTGCAGGATAGACAGAGATAACATGAATGGTCTCATGTTATCAATACTTCTAATTATCACTTTACTTGTGTGTGTGTGTGTCAACAGTATTACAATGGCAGGCACAACTGCCAGCTAGGTGACTGTGAGCCAGAAACTCTAAGCCCAACCCACACAATGGGTTTGTTGTTGTTGTTGTGGGGAAATGTCAGCCCCACTAGGTAGATCAGACCATGAAATCAACACCACAGGATGGCTAAAACTACTTTTATTGAGATTGGCTACAATAACAGAATCTTGCAGGGCTGGTTGTGCTGCACCTCTCCTCCTTCTTCTATTTTA